TTAAAAAAGAAATGAACTACCATCTAACCTTGATTAACATTAGGATTGAATTTCAAAACTTGTAAGTAAATGTGGCCTACCAGTTTCATTAACGCATTAAATAAGCATATTTAGTAATATTTCTAATACAATTTTGAGTTTTTCTCAAACTTGTCTAAACACGAATATTTTGTTCTTGCTAATAAGAATGAAAAATTTTTAGAAATATATATTTTTATCAATTTCAATAACACCCTGGATGACATTTTGTTAAAAATCAATTTGAAAAGTAACAAGTAAGAATGTTTTTCATTGTTTTTTTCTTGTCTCAATTTCATTAAACAATATAAATACAAATTTGATTTAGATTGCTCATTGATAGTCTTTTTTTAAACAGTATTTCTTTTCAAAATAAAATTGTTGTTAATTAAGTATAATGCATGGAGTCTAGAAAGCTGGACTCCATTTCAGTTTTCTAGTTAACATGTATTAAACCACACTTACAACAACATCCAAGGCTTCTTTGACTACTCAAATAGAAATATTTTTAGTGATAAAGACACTAATCAGGCACTAGTATTAAAATATGTAAAGTAAAACAGATTTTCCTAGGCAGTTAGATTGAAAGAATCTAGTTTTTTTTTTTTAATTTGTAGAAATGAAACTCCACAAAATTCTTACGAGCAAAGAAATCATGTTTATATGTAAAATGTACAAAAGTTTTTTGCAGTACCACGTTTCTTTCAAAAGCCGAAATTCTGCAAAACAACCTTTATTGTACATATGCCGTTGAATTCAAGGGGGGAAAACAAAATCATGGAAGATCTGCAAAATATTAAACAGGAGTGTAATTTCCTTTTGGGGTGTGAAACACCTGTCCCGATTTAATACGTCGAATAATTTCAGTTCTTAGGAGATATCTCTCTTTGTTCAGTTTGGAAAGCAAACTGCTATTTTCTCTAGCACGACGTGACAGATAAGGTAGAACTTCCTGCACTGGACCATATGGAACATATTTGTATACGGAATACCCAGACTGACCTGCAAGAAATTGTTATACGTCAAAGTTAACAACCTATAATTTAAAATTTTATGAAAATGATACTTCTTCACGTGACAGAATAAATCTAACAACTAATATTCAATTAGATAAAAACTCATTTTGCACTTGTATTTTTAACGTGGACAAATAGGTTTATTGGTATAACAGTAAAAGAGTATTTTTAATAAAACAAACTTACCTAGAGGAAAGCTTATTTGGTCACACATTCCATACAACTGTCCAAAACACACTAACTTTTCATCAGGTTTTATACCCAGTTCCTTCATTCTAATAATAATAATAATAATAATGATAAAGAGTTACTTGAATATAGTCAAAATTACCTATACTGCATTATGATCCATCATCGTAACAATGATTCAACTAATAAATATTTATAGACATCTGTTACAGGTGTGGTATATGAAATGTTCTATCTTCTATTATTACAGTATTTATTCTTTGTTCTGTATACGTGTAGGTTTAACACAACACGTAGCTGAGAAAGCTGTTAAACTGATTTTGTTATAGTTTCTTTTGTCGTTCTCTGGAGAGAATACCTGTACTTGCCCAGGGATATTATTGCTCTAATGCTGCATGCTGTGCGAGGATGTAGACAATAGCATCCTTCAATGACAAATCAGGAGATATTTCGAGGTTACGACCTCCCTTACATTTCAATAGAATTGACCAACAGCAACATAGGTGGTGCATATGTCCTGATATACAGTGTTACAAATATTGGGTGTATAATACTATGATCTATGAGGTAGCTCTCTCTCAAGATAAAGCCCTCAGTTTGGTAAGTGAAGTATAAACCATTTCTTTGTAAACATTAATACTTTCCCAAAGTTCAATCTGTAACATGCAAGTGTAAAATTAACTAATTCTTATTAAACATCTTCACAAGTCTTAGGAGTGTACACAGTTAACAATGTTGTAAATGTACTGTTCTCTACACACACTTCATTTTGATTGTGTTTTTGAGTATCAAAAGATTGTTTACAATGTGTGCTTTACATTATGTCCAGTCTCTTTTTTTTTTTTTTTTACAAACTCAGTCAAAGTCAAAGAACTCGGAATTACTTTGTAACACATCTTGTCGAACCTCCTGTTATTAAGTTGTTCTCAAGTAAACTGACTTTTACCACACAGGTAATATATAATATTTTAAGTTTTTACCTAGATATACAAGTGGCATAATAATGTTTTCAGTTAAAAAGTTTCAAACCCAAAACAATACCATCATTTAATAAAAAGGTATTTTAGTTCAAATAAGCCTTATTACATTATAGGTTATTCACTTATACATCATGGAAAAATGCTTAAATAACCAAAATATTGTTATAGTTAATAATGCTCAAACAATCTATATTGATCGTTAAAATCATTTTATATTTTTCAAACCCATGAATTTTTTTTCTCAAAAAATTAACAATATGGTTTTTTTAAATCTTCATTCATCCAAGAAAGTCTCAAAGAGGAGCCAAGTCATTAAAAAGCATGTTCATATAATTAGGCCTACAGGATCAAGAAAGAATATGCTGTTTTAGTAGCACTTTTGATAATGTGAGCATAAAAATCTCATTAGGTTTTTGGGCAAAAACTGTTATAACCCTATTACATAGTGTAGTTTTCATTCTGTGGTTTAAAATTTGTGCATATTTCACACATTTGGGTTTAAGTTAGTAAAAAAATACATATGGCCGAGAAGTATATATAAAAAGAAAATGCTTTCTAATGTACAGAGAAGACATTTCGCATTTTGATATCCTTCAATTCTATATTATATGAACAAGTTAAGCCTTTATTATACAGTAACAATCATTAGACCAAAACATCAGTTCTATGTGGGAACAGGGCTTACTGAAAAAAATAAATACAACTACGCACAGAAGAGGCAGTGATTTATGGTAGACGAAAGGTAGATTTGAAATACTATTTTTTTTTATACACCTTTTATTTTGAAACCACTTGGACAAATTAGGAAGATGTCAGTTTGATATGCATTGCTCTTATGTATAATGCTGCCAAGTGTTGTCATTTCTAATTTTGTTAATGTCTCCTAGTTAGTATAAATGTACTAACTTCCAAAGAAGACCATGCAGCCATTTTTAAACAACTTATCTCAGACGTAGTTCATATTTATGAAATGTATTAGGTAATCCTGCTATACAGTTTTAAAACTAATAAGGGTACTTGGAAATATTGTTTTTTGTATGATAATAATTTGTTAGAATTTTGTAGAAAAGTCACAAGTTATTCTTTTTAGAGTATGAAAAAAAAAACAACACAAAATTCAATCCCCCCCCCCCCTCACAGAATGGAACATCTTTTAACTTACTTATTCACTGTAAAGCGGACCGTATCTTCGTTATGAGTTGCCACCATGATAGCAATTTTCCTGTCCCCTCGAGTAATTATTTGATGCATAATTTCATTTAAAGTTCGCTCATACATATCGCTTGTAGCCTCATAAGTTGGATTGATTGGGTCTTCATACCCACCTTGTTTAGCTCGAAGACGTTCCTATAATGTAAATAAAACATTTTATCTGGGCCTAATATCAAATGATAACAAAAATAATGGTAATAAAAATTACAAACTAATTATTAACATACTTGCTTTTAGAATAGAAATAAACCAAGGTGAATTTGGTTTCCATAGTCTAATTTTAGTTTTTAAAATACCCGAGACAAAAAAAATCTTTAATTTATTATTTTGTTTATATTACATAATTCTTACTTTTGAAAATGGGTTACAAAAATTTTCACAGCATATGTTCAAAAACTAGCTTATTAACTGTATTCAGTTACTTGTTAGTAACAGCACAAAACCCATACCAATGAAAATACTTAACTTCTACATATACATGCCTTTTAGGCTAAAAATAGTACAGTGAAATAATGTTCCTTGTATGACTGTTGTTCTTGAAGACAATTAGATAAAAGGTAATAAAGGATAAACTAAAATGTCTAAATAAAAACGTTAATCTGTTTTATTTCAAGTACATACCCTTTGTTAGGCAGTAAATACAATGTTAACAGAGACTAAGCTAAAAAAGAATCATTTAAGAGTTAGAATATACAGAGATTCTATTTACACATGTTCTACGTGAAGTAAATTAATAAAAATATTATTTGATAAACAGTATTTACTGTCTGAAGAAGCATGTCTGTTGAAAACATTGGACCAAATAAAACGAAATATTTTATTGAGATATAATAAAAGATAAATTAAACTTTTATCCTATACAATATGGTTATCAAAATTCTAAAACCTACAATTATGATTTAAAATTAGCATATACTTCACTATAACACTAAATCATTGTCAGCAGTACTTCTTTCTTTGACAAAAGTATCTGAAGGATTGATACTTTCTCGATGTGTTATTTTCAATACACACCATCTACAAACATGTTTAGGTTTGTTTTTTTTCACAAGGAAACTTGTGAGAATATGAAAGAAGATATAGCAGGCAAAATAACAAGCTTGAAATCAGACATGAGACCCTTAATTAAAAAAAATTCAAGTAGGCTCCACTACTTCAATCCATTACAGAAAAAAAAAAATGAATCAAAGTACACACATAATTTTGTTACTACTAATGTCCTTTATGCAAATTTTCACCTAGTGTGCTGACTATCATAACAATGGTACTATAACAAAGCATCAGTACAGCTCAGAATGGATGAAATGGGATTTTGATCTTGTAAACTTGTTCAACTAATACATTGTGCATTCAATTTTGTTTTGTGATAAAAGAAATTATAAATATGTTAAATTTCTAAACAAACTGCTTTATCAACTATGAACAATTTATTTTTTTATTTTTTTGGTCTATGGTCCTTACGTGTTCTATTGCTCAGGCTGATCACATGACAAAAAAAGAGAGAGACAGAGACAAAAGTAGCTACAAATATGAACATTTTGACATATCTACAGCCAATACATGTGCATATTGGTTGTGTTAAGCAAATACAGGATGTATCATAAAGCTGATCAATGCACAAACTGGTCAACAAATATTTAGCTCAACAAGATTTTAATTTGAAACATTACTGCTTCAATGGTATTTTTCAAATTAACTTTTTTTCATGCTTTGATTTGATAAAAGTAAAATAGTCTCAAAATTATTGTAATGTTATGGAGATGATATTTTGTTTATGGTTTAAATTTCTCAAAATTTAATTAAAAGAGTACAATTAAATTCTTACATTCTTAAGCAATGATTTTTTTTTAAAGTTTGTTATCTGCACTACATGTCTATAATTTTGAAGTGGCAAGCAGAGGGAAAGCAGCTAGTCAATAATACCACCTACTGCCAACTCTTAAGCTGGTCTTTACCAATAAATAGTGAGATTGACCATCACATTATAAAGGCCCCAGATTGCAAGTTGAGTGCCCTAACCATCACGTAAATTTTTTTTTGTTTTGCTTTTATGAGCTGATTGAGTACAGTTTGTGTTGTTCCATTTTCTACAATATTTTAAACTCTATCACACTTGGACAAGTAAGTTATGCCTCAAGAGCAAAACTGCACCACTGAATTAAAAATAATAATTATATAGAAAATAAACTTGTAGCCATTTTTCTACATATTACTCAGTAAAAGAAAAAAACAAAAAAAACAGCAAACAAAGAGCAGTTTGTTTCTGGGGTAATTTCAGCATGCTCTGAACCAAATAATTAGTGCTTGTGAATTTCCTGAATTTATTTCTGAGCACCCCTAGGAGGAAAGTAATAATAGTTTAGAGTAAAATAAAGCTAATTTGAATGCTTGGATACAAATAAATTTTTATCTATTTCCAGTCAATCTCAACATCAGTTTTCATGGTATGATGTAATTGCCTATATCTCATTTTCAAGAAGCCATAAGCTAGTGATCTATTTTCATGTTCAACTGTATAAGCCAATATGGTTATAGTTCAGTGGAGATTTGTGCAGAGATTGGACAAACTGATAAAAGCTTAACTTGGTACAATTTGATGAACACATTTTGCTATAATTATACTCTTGGTTTTTCTTTTGAAGCTTGCAAAAATCTTGTTTTTTCATTTTATACTTCATTTGAATTAAAATATTGCAATACGATAGAAAAAGAAATATAGCTCATGGAACAAAATGAGGTAGGTTTATTTAAGAAATTTTACACTTGACAATGTCGAATTTCATTTTACGTTAGGCCTATTTGGTCTAAGTGACTGAATGAGCAAAGATAATCACAAAAAATAAATAAATATATAAATTAATATAAAATGGGTTTAAAACTTATTACACATATTAAACAAAACCTTCTGATTATCAGTTTAAAAAAAAAAAAATTTGTCAGCTCCCTTCTAATTTTGACACACTTAAAAAGTAATTTTTATTGCACACCAAAGATTGTAAACACAGTGAAACCACATGAAGGATTTTCAAATCTAAACAAAAAAACAAGATTTAGTTTTATAAAACAAATATTTTATAGGAAAGAATTTAGAAAGACATAAAAATCAATTACTGAAATCTATAACAAAGAAAGTTTTAATTGTTTCATAAAACATACTACAATGAATATTTTTCAAATTTTGAAAGTTGTGACGACATACAAACATTACATACAAGAAAAAGACATTTTATTTGTAGAAGCTAAATCTAAAAAGTTAATAGAAAGTTCAAACTATTTCAAGCAGTAGTTATAAATAGTGTACACAGTGCAGGTGCATCAAACTGATACACCCAGGTCTCACGAGATTAATCCAACCAATAACTTTGAAGAAAATCATCAAGAGGAAGCTAAAGCCTTAATATTTATCAATCATTTCTAATTTACTAAATTATTTTTGACAACCTAATAATTAAGTTTATGAATGTAAAACTTCTCCTTTACCCTCCCACCCACCTCCATAAAAAAGGCATAAAATAAAGAACTGAATACATCTGATTTTTTTTATCAGTATATTAGTTATAAATATATTGATCATTCATGAGAATGTCTTCAAATTAATATTTTCTTGTTTGAATACAGAAAAGTCAATCCTTACCTGTTCCATATATGCCCCTCGAACAAGTTTAGCCCCAAAAAAGATACCCTGACGTTTGGCTAGTTCAAGGTCAAGAACAACGTTGTTGTAGGCTTCCTAAAAATCAAATATAAGCTAAGAACTTAAACATTTGTTTTTAAGTATATTAGAGGAGATCTTTATACAGGGTCTGCCAAAAGAAATGTAGGAGTTTTATACAGTTAACTTTTCCAAAGCGTTACTGAAAAATACTGTTTGTTATGGACAGAATGATGATTAAAGGTTTGAATTGTAATGATGAACAGGCCAACAATCGAACAGCAATCTCTTATTGTTGAGCTATATTCAAAAATTGAATGCACCATCACTGCTGCTCATAGAGCATACCTTCAAGCACTTGTGTTAAAGTTGCTCTTCCTGAGCATGGCATCAATGGGAATTGTGGTTTCACCAAGATGGATCCACCTGTCACACAGCATGAGCAACAATGGCAGTTTTGCACGAACTGTTTCCAAACAGAGCAATTTCTCATAATGGATATATAAACCGTCAGCAGAAGAATTCTTTTTGTGGGGTTACTTAAAAGGACATAGTGCATGTCAACAAGCCATGGACATTACAGGATTTGAAAGATAGCATAAAGGCAGATATTAATGGCTTTATGCATAAAACTTTAATCTCTGCAATGGAAGGTTTCATCTTTATTAGTACACCTGTGTTTAGCAGTTCTTGGTGGACACTTACCAGATATTATTTTTCATACTTAATGGTTGTAAGAAATCTTATTGTACTAAAGTTTCATAAATAACAAACACAAATTAACCCAACAAATTTTGTTGTCAATTACTGTTGTTTTAAATCCCTACAATTCTTTTGGCAGTCCCTGTATTAACTCTTTGACTACAGGCAAGTGCATTTCACCATGTAACCACTAAAGTAACCATGAGATTAGTCATGCTATAACTTTTGATAATATATGCATATCTTTATAAAATTTCGCAGACTATCAGTAAACATTATAAAGCTTTTGTACATATACACACACACACACACACACACACACATAGAAAAACAAAAAAAGTATTTTTTAATTACAGATTTGCTCATGAATTTTTGCTTTCAGAATGTTGACTATCCATCACGTGAAGCAGTTTTAATTTTAAGATTAAAAAGACCTTTCTTCGTCTGAAAAATTTCAAATTTCATTTGCGTAATCTCTAAAACCTCTTAAATAAATATCAAACGTTTTTCTTTTCAGAAAAAACTTCATATTTTAGCTTATTTTTACTACCCTAACTCTATACAGGGTTGGATAATTTGACCATCCTCATAACCACCATAAAAATTAGGAAATAAATCCAAATTATCCTTTTTTTTCTTTCTAGAATGACTGTTTCATAAAACATACTACAATGAATATTTTTCAAATTTTGAAAGTTGTGACGACATACAAACATTACATACAAGAAAAAGACATTTTATTTGCAGAAGCTAAATCTAAAAAGTTAATAGAAAGTTCAAACTATTTCAAGCAGTAGTTATAAATAGTGTACACAGTGCAGGTGCATCAAACTGATCACACCCAGGTCTCATGAGATTAATCCAACCAATAACAATTTAATTGTTTGTTATAAATAGCTTAAAACTCATAACAGTATATATCTATTATATTTATTAACTTTTTTTTTCTTTATTATTGACTTTTAAACCGTGTCTAATAATCACACCACAAAGCGTACGTGCAGCTCACGTTATTGTACTGAATAGCATAAAACTGGCTAAATCTCTTAGTCTTACTCTTTGTACTAGCGTACCAGTATTTTGTAAAATAGTGGAATTTCAGTTACCATACATTGCATATGTATATATATTAATATTATTTACAAAGAAATTCTTCATTTTTAGATATTTTCTTAAAACACAGAACAGTAAATTAAAAATATATATATAAAAAACAATGAACTCTACCACTTACAATGTTAAAGTTATTTTGTACTCGTGCATTGACTTGCCAAGCTTCGTTGAATTTCACACGTGGAGGATGTAAAAAATTTAAGTTTTATAGACTTTATATATGCATTTTGGAATAACAGAGAATTATAAACTACAATACCAATACCACAAAAATCCATAGAAATTAATCAAGTTTCCTAAGCTGTATGTGGTTCTAAACAAATTTAATTTCTGATTGGAATATTACCTTGAGCATCACACTTCAAACTCTCCAATGGTTATAACAGGCTTTACCCACGTAAATTCTTTAGGAAGAATGATAGGATTACATAGTTCAAAATGAGCATTTTCAATTTGGTTATAAACATGTATATTTAAATGATAAAGCGATGGGTGGAGCCACTGTGGTGGGTTTGCTAAATATAATGATATCTCAGCATGTAGAAAAAGGTAGGAGGTTCTTATTTTATATTATAGATCATCAATATTTGTAATTTGAATTTCCAATTCATTAAAAACTATAAATGTTGTATTGTGGACATCATAAGATGATGTAACACGTGATACACAAAAAATCAATATTTGTAACAGTAAAATTTGAATTATAAACTACAATTTTATGCCAAAATAGAGTTTAATAAAATTTTGAATGCAAGTCTACAAAACATGATGACATGTCCTTTGACTGCTACCTATATGGAAAGGGTTAAAAACAGAGATAAGAACATATACTGATATGTAAATATAGAGGGTCCCCAAGTAATATACAACTTATAATGGCACGGATAGTAGTTAGATAGTAGATAGTAGACACAGTTCAAAGAGCAATAAAACAATAAAATTTCATTATAAATAGATGTATACTGTTATGAACTTAGAGCTACTTAGGATAAATAAACGTAGTTTCATGTTACAATTTGAAGTCATTCTAGAAAAAAAAAAAAGGGTAATTTAGATTTATTTAAATTTTTTTTGGTGGTTACAAGGTTGGTCGTTTTGACCAATTCTATTTTGATAGGGTAAAGAAAATAACAGATAAACCATAAAGTTTTACTGAGTAAGACGTTTGAAAATGCATTTAGGAGGTTTTAGGGATTACACAAAGGAAATTTGGGATTTTTTTAGATGAGGAAAAGTATTTTTAATTTTAACATGAAAATTACTTTGCACATGAACTATTCAAAACAAATACTCAATATCTTCATGGAAAAATCTTTATTTTATTAAAAATACTTCACTAAAAAATATGATTTTTTGTATGTGAAAGACTTATAATATTAACTGAAAGACTTCCAAATTTCGTGAAGATACACACACTATATTGAAAGTTAGAAGTATTAAATATGCAAAGAATTTAAACGAGTAGAAAGAGATCCTATGGTCGGTCAAACTGACCAAGCCCGTGTTGATTTAAAGGGTAAATTTCTACCCCCAATGTGTACACACACACACACACACACACACACACAGTGTCTTTTTTTATGGGGAGAAAAGTTCCATCTCTCTAATATTTTCTTCAACCTTTTCCAGTTGTCACCTCATCCCATTCCATGACTATCCCAATATATTCAATAAAAGGTACCAGTACGTCATCCTGACAAATTTCACCAGGCAAAAAAACCATTGTACGTAGGTGTCTATACAAGGTGGAAATTTACCTTATACACACACACACACACACACACATATTATATACTGTTATCCTGCTTAGTAAAAAGAAAAAAAAAACGATTTTATAGTTAAGCAGCCCATTTTCAGATAGCTATATCCAATAACCTTATATATAATTTAAGAAAGAAAATCAATGATACTGGTTCTGAGCAGGTTCAAGAGAAATAAATTTCTGTTTATTAATTAATTACAATATTTCCTAGTATGAATTACTGCTTGGAATATGTATTTTAAATATTTCACATTAAGGTTTAGTAAAATACTATTATTCAATTCATTTGCAATGAAACATCCATTTCAAATATTTATTCATACCTTCAAATAGCACTGGTATGTATTGAAAATTATTGCTTTTTCTTTATTATACTTGCGCATTAATTCCATTGTAATACGACTGATAGCAGGCTGAAAGTAGGTCTGTTCAGCATCAATCATAACTCGTACATCCTTCTCTCTGGCAACCTATTAAAACAGGAACAAAATTTAAATTCATTTAGTAAAAATGGCTTCCAATAAAAAAGTGCATTCTCCAGGGTTGTTCCCTCCCCCCACTGTTGTCTTGACTCACTGCCCAAGAAATTGCAACAGATCAACAGCAAAGTTATTCTAAGTTCTTATAAAAATAGTTTCCTGAATTACCATACATTAGTTCTATAATGAACGTAGCTCTTGTCTAATTAACCAATACTGCACACACAAAAATGGCAGAAATTTTGTAAAAAAGCAATCAACCATTAATCTAGAGGCAGGCTACTGACAAGCTTTACTGCGAGGTAGATGCAGTGTAATACTTACTTGAGCAATGTAGTGTAAACGCCTCATCATATTTTTAAACATTTCTTCTTCTTCATCAGTCAAGGCACGTATCAGTGGTTCCATTCGTCCAGTCTAATGTATTAAAATATTGATGAGAAGAACTTTGAAATGAAGACATACACGTATGTACAAACAAGCTCTGCATCGTGAAACCTTAACTAGTGAAAACCAATTCGACAAAAATGCAGGTTTAATTTTCTGATTTGTACAATCAAATATCTGATACTTTTCAAAATTTCCCTTGGAAGAAACAATTGAAAAACTGACAGTGAAATATTAAGTCGTCAGTTGAAGTCTCTGATTTTATCAATACAATGTGCTCTTAATTAATGTTGAGAAATACCACTCTAGTTATAGCAAATATAAATTTTACAGTATACAACTTTTAAAACCTCAAAAGACAAATAGCAGTCTTTTGTTTTCTTGTATAAGTTTAATGCAAGTTAAATAATCATTTATTTTAAAAGGTACATGTATAATTCAATATTAACCGAGGATGACCATGTAAGCTTCAACTCTTCAGTAACTAAATGAATAAGTTCAAGTTAAATGTCTTTTCCTTAGGATAAAGAGAATCTTCTGTTATAGCAAGAAAATCTTAATTTCTATCTTAATAAATGTCTTAATGCAAGAAACAAAGATCCTCCTCTTGACCTTGAGACCAACAATCAAAGAAAAATCGTAAATAAAAGTATCCACAAAGATTAAATTATTTTCTTAGGCCTTACTATATCTCGTACACATAGATGCAATGAGGTGAAAATTAACTACTCCCTTTTAAATTACAATTGCAAAAAATAACTTTACAATACATTACTTTTCTTTCTAATTTATAAGTAATTTTACATGGGAATGGACTGCATAATAAGTACAGCATTCAGATTAATCATGTAGTTTTCTGATGACATTTCTGTAGTCATATTAATATAAACCTTTTTTTAAAGCCACAATTAACACTTTTACTCATCTTTCATCACTACAAATAAATATACTACTGCCCAGTTAATAATTTGCTGCCTTTAAGGAATACACTATTTTTTTTTCATATTTACAATAAAGTTTGGACATTGCAATAAGATATGTTACATGACAAAAGTCATGTGTCAAATTTAAAACTACTGAAAGCACATTTATAACATAACATAATATTTTGTGATAACATGGAACCTACTGGTCCATCTCGGCTGCTCCATCCTCAAAACTAAATTAAAATGATTAAAAAAATAAAATAAATTTTTTTTTAAACCTAGCCCTTTTCATTCATATACTTGTCAACATTTTTCTTAAACTCATTTAAATTTACTGCTTCCACAACATCCAAAGGCAACCCATTCCAAAGACCAACCACCCTGTTATAAAAGTAAAACTGTCTTAGCTGAAGATGACTCTTACCTTGCCAAAATTTATATTTGTGTCCCCTAGTCCTACTATTCTCGTTGTTAAATGTCAATAAATATGATACATCAACACCATGAATTCCCTTTACAATCTCAAACACCTCAATCAGATCCCCCCCTAACTCTTCTATTTTTCAAGAGAAAACAATTTGAGAGATTTAAACCTCTCCTCGTATCACAACCCCTTCATTCTAATAACCTTTCCAACAATTCAATGTTTTTCCCGAGGTAAGGAGCCCAAGATTGAACAGAATATTCCAAATATGGCCTAACCAGTGACCTGTACAATGAAAGTATAACCTCTTTAGACTT